AGTATAGAAAAGATGAATTTGAATTTTTGTTGAGAATGAAATAGAAGATGAAAATACCATTTATAGAACAAAAAATTAATGAAAAATCTTGTATTATTAATAATAGTATCAAATGGTTTATTATTTACTTTTCTGGAAAATAAAAAGATATCAACGATCATGAATGGTTTGTAATATAGCTGCTTGGACACTTTAAAAGCCAATAAAGATAAATAGATATGGCAATATGAATAAAAGTTGAGAAATATACAGTTAGACCTCAATATACTGATATTCTATGTACCGATAATTGCCTGTACTGATAAATTTTTATTGTCCCATTTCACAATTAATAAAAAAATCTTGTTGTACCAATATTATATATAATCTCATGATGTAATATGTACTGATACTCACTCTTTATCCCTTTATAGGACCCCGAAAACTTCATATAGAAGTTACTGGTAAACTGGGTAAGTTATTATAAAAATCAAAAATTGTTATTGCTTAAATATTATAAATGCGATTTAGGTTTTTATAAAATGGGTAATGATCTTATGATTCATTTTTTGGTTGTTACTATAGTGGTAATGATTATATATATATTTTTAAGGGTGTATTTTATATATATCATATAAACATTAAAAATAATCAAAAATTTTTTTTTTTTTTATTTTATTTTATTTTAAAAAAATACCAAGTTTAGAATATTTTTTACCCGATAATGAATATGATTCTGATGATTTTAATTTTCTAGGATATGATTTAGTTGAAAAGTTAGATGAAATAAATATGGAACAAAATGAAGTGATAATTAATGAAAAAATGAGAAAAAATAATGATGCTATAGTTGATGATAAAAAAGACGATATTATAATTGAAGGTGAAGATGGTGTTATAGTTGAAGATGATGTTATAATTGAAGATATTGAAGATGTTGAAGATGTTGAAGATGTTGAAGATAATATTATAGTTGATGATATAAATATTAATAAAGAGAATATTAATAAAGAGAAAACGTAGTAAAAAAATCATATTGGGAATAAATTACATGCTAATAAATATTTTATGGAAGAAATAACACCAGAATTGGTCCGTTATAAATGTGGTAAAGAAATCCGTTTAGATTGAAAATTTAGAGATAAAAATCTTACAATGCATGGTGAATTGAGTAATTGTAAGTATATTAATAAAGGATAGCAAAGTATTAAAGTTTTTTTTAAACCTAAAAAAATTAGAGTTGAAGCGGAAAATATAATTGTCAAAAATGTTGCATGTAAGGGATTATTTGAGGATAATTTCTAGAAATTGTTAAAGCAAATCTTAGACTAAAAAGTCTTGGTAAAATGAGATGTGCTGATCTTAAAAATTATGTGCACATGCTATATGGATATTAGATAAAACTACTCTTTCCATTAGAAGTAAAACATGTGAAAATTTTATAACCAGAGAATCAAGTATTTGTAATGAATGTAACAAATTAAGAAAAAATAGTCATTTAAACCAAGCAACAAAGAAGGTATGTATTTGAATTTATCTAATTTTTTATGTTTATTTTTTAGCAACAAGCAACTGGAAAAAATATTCGCTTTATTCCAAAATGGTATCTTGAACATTCTTTAAGTAAATTACTACTTATAGCAGATTGCAAAATTGTAAGACCACCCTATGATTTTCAATTTGAAAATTTGATATTTTGAATTTTTCAAGAATTAGTAAAAAAGCAACTTTGGCTATCTATTTGATATCTTATTAAGGATCTTAACTTAAAGGTTGATTTGATCAAGGTTAACATACATGAAACATGGTGGAAGGCTGATGGTGTAAAGGTTGGTTGTAGAGTAGAATGCACAGTTTGAGCTAAACTATCGGTCTGAGCATTAAGGGCATTGTCACTATGAGCAGGGACTATTTGTCATTTTCTTTGCTCTATAGGAGAAGCCAGAAATTTTTTGTCTTTCCGCTCATTGGCTCGTTTCACTGCTTTAGGCTTTCCAGCGCTCTTTGATTGGGCTGGTATCCATTTCTGTCTTTCTCAAATTTTAAAGGCTTTGCCTCACATCATAATGGTCATCCTGCACTGCAACAACGCAAACCTCACTTGTACTCTCTGGACTGGCTTTGCCCACAATGCAATTCCACTCCTGAAGATCTTAATCACTTTTGGACCTGCCTTTATGTTCTTCCTGATCTTAATCCTTGTTCAACTTATCACAATGAAATTGTGAAATTCTGAGAAGCTTGTTTTACATCCTTTTCATCTTTGAAGTCTCTTCCTGCCTCATTCCATGCCAAATTTTCAATCCTGGGCTGTTGGAATTTTGATGCTCCTTTCATGTCCTGTCTTTGGCTTACTAGAGGATTAATTCCTGCGCATCTGATGGCCTTCTTAAAGCAATTTTTCCTGTTTCAGTCATCTACAGTACTATTTTTCTGCTTCTTAACAACTTCCAGGTTGAACTTTATGGTGAAATTTGGTTATGTCATAATATTCTCTTTTATGTTTAAGAAGAATCTCAAGGCATCTCCGCCTTGTCAAAACTTCATGGCCCTTCCTCTTGTCACTCTTCTAATTATTCTCCACAGTTCCTCAGGATTCCTGGATTTCTTGGATATCCTCTTCTATAATTCGGATGGATCTTGGATCTTGCACTTGGATTTTCTGCGCCGCTTAACAGTTCAACCTCTTAGGGTCTCTTTCTGGTAACGGACTGGATTTTTGGATGTTAGATAGTTGACTCACACTGGCTTCTGGGTAAAGTTGGGCATGCGATTCTGTAATAGTTTAGTTTTTTTCTTTTCTTTAACTTAGTTTTAGTTTAGATTTCTTTACTTGTATGAGTCGTAAAGCTACTCTTTTTATTTTTTATTATTTGTTTCCTTATTTGTATAATATTGTTCAAAATTTATATAATTTTCAATGTTAAATAAATAAAAGATAAAGTTATAGGACTGTTTGCACAGTAAAAGGATAAAACTAATGGTATAGTTACCTCTTGAGGATGATAGAATACTAGTCCAATGATGCTTCATAAGAAGTAGAGACTTGGCCATAAAACTCTAGTAAAGTAAAAGGATAAAACTACCAATAGCGTGAAGGGTGAAGGTATAGGGATTAGTATAGTTGGACTGCATCATGGTGAATTAGTATGCCTTGAGCAAGCATATTTCAACAAAGGGTCATGTTGTCCTTCTAATGTTCCCTAAGAGGCCATTAATTATAATATTATTAACATGCAAAATATACAAATGTGAATGAGTCTTAACAAATTCTATTGACTTTAAAAGACTTAGCAATCAAACCATTAATCATCATATTTGTAGAGATTAAAATTTGGATCATCTATTATCCTAAATCTACAGTACAATTAGATTCATCTGTTCAGATTAATCCAGATTAAGTGGATTTAGAATCATTGTTTTGTAATGCTAGTTGTTGCTAAAATAAATTCCACAATGAAATTTTCTGTTGAACTATCAGTTCCCATTATATGACTTAACAATTCTTTTATATAGTGGTATTGAAACAAATTGATCAAAGTAAATTAGACTCATTATTATAGGATTTTAATTTATAATTTTTTTTTTTTTTTTATTAATAAAGACCAATACTGATGCCATTATACAATCTGATTTTTATTTTAATAGATCTGATCTTCAGACTCTTAGAGTCAAGATAGCACTTTCCTCCTTTGCCTTTCCCCAGTTTAATAAATATTGGACGACAGACCTGGGAGGTATACCCATTAGATGGTTCCCTGCGAGTTGGACTTTACGAGAAAGAAAACAACATGAAAAGTTCCAAGCCATTATTCATGACATTCCGGAGGACATGATGATGGCTACCTTGTGGATGGACCATAAACCATGTGAATTTTTAATGAAGTGCGGTGCTAGCTCATTTAAAATCATTCAAACAAGTAAAGGAAGGAGGAAACTTGTGGCCTATTTTGAGAATTGGGAGACCACACTAAGGGCCTAAGATACGCCACAGTTTTTCGTACCTGATGGTAAGGAATTGAAATGGTGTCGACACTCCATTCCTACCTTGAAGGCACAACGTAAACTGAAAGCTAAAAATACACTGAATACGAAAAAGTCAGGTAAGTCTGGCAAAAATTTGGACAGTAATCAGCCTAAGAAGAAGGATAAACCTGCATCCTCGCAAAAAGTCTCTAAAAATAATAACCAGGAGGAGAAATACCCGAATACTCAGAAGAAGGCAAAGAAATCCTCGAAGATAAAGGGTAATAATAAAGATAACAAGGCGGTTTTAGCAGAAATTTTAACTTTATTACAGAAACTAGTTTAGCCTATGCTTTGATTAGCGGTTTTACGAATTTCAGAATTGTATTATTTTTAGGATAGAATATATCTATGTGT